CTCTCTCTCTCTCTCTCTCTCTCTCTCTCTCTCTCTCTCTCTCTCTCCAAACATTTCCCACACCTTTGCTGAATGAGTAAAAATCCTTTGAGCCAGGCTTGGTGGTTGGTACATGTTTGTATCACAACTACTTGGAAGGTCAAGGTAGAAGGATTCTAAGTTCAAAACCTTCCTAGGCTCTCAAGTGAGTTCAAGGCTGACTTAGGCAACTTAGCCTTATTGTATCTCAAAAGAAAAAGTGAAGATAGGGCACGGTATGTAGCTTTTAGTATAATATATAATATGTAATATATACTAAATATATAATATATAAATATGTAATATTTATATATTATACAAATATATAGTATAAATATATATATACTCGATACTTGACAGAGCTTTCATATCCTAATAGGCAAGATATATGTATATATAATACTATCATTACTATGAATTGGTAGTTTATCTAAGTACAAATTTGGCAATGTGCATCAAGGGCTTTGGCAATGCTTTTGGGAGATAGCTAAGTCAGTAAAGTGGTTTACTTGTAAGCATGAGGACATGAGTTTGATCCTCATATATAAAATCCCAGGCATGGGGCATGTGCTTGTAATCTCAGTGCTAGGGAGGAGATGACAGGTAGACTTCTAGTATTGCTGACAAAAGAGACTCGTTACTACCTTAGTATTGAGCTCCAGACCAGTGAGAAGCCCTGCTTCAAAGGAAGTAGATGAGTTCCAAAGAATGACACTTTGATTGTCCTCAGGCACATGTGTACCACACTACTAGTACACACACACACACACACACACACACAGAGAGAGAGAGAGAGAGAGAGAGAGAGAGAGAGAGAGAGAGAAACTAAAAATATTAATTCTTTTAATTTCCATATATATATAATCAATGGTACTGTTAAAGATTTAAAGGCAAGACAAACACTTTTATAGAAAAAAATAAAAATAAATGAACAAACGTGTTTAAAATCTAAATCCTTTCTGACTTGATCCTACCAAGTTAAATCTCAAGCTTTGGGTCAGTCACATAGCTTGCTGTTTCCCATTGACCCCTGTAGAATTAGAAGCTGCCAGTGTCTCAGCCAAGAGCACTCAGGTGATCTGGCAGGGAAAAGAGGAAGACAGGTTCTTTTAGCCTAATCTTAGAAAGCATCAGCGGCTTTCTCAGAGCTGGAACCAGGCCATTCTCATGAAGTCCTAAACATGGAAAGAGTTTCCACTTCACTGAACTACTGATAGAGATTAACTCTGTCGTAACTGTTACTGTAACTAGAGATTAAACACCAGGAGGAGGGCAGCATTACTGTAGCTTGACACACAATACACACTGGACATTCTAGTCTATTTATATAAACTTTAGTGATGATCCCTACTGCTAAAATTCCTTCTCAGGGGGATACACAGCAACTTCTACCCCTCCTCCTAAGGTTGCAATGGCAAATCCATGTATGATTCTGCCCAAGTTCAATCCAAGGAACCAATGATTTTATTGGGTTTCCTTATAGATTGTAGGTAAGAGATTACCTACAGGAATGTGGTAGCTTCTCCCTCAAAAGTCTGCACTAAAAAGTCTTTACTCAGCAGGACCTGAACACAAATGGTCCTCAGTCTCCTTGTTCCCTTTTTCAGAGCTGTAGCCCAAAGCCAACAGCAGCAGATACCCCATCCAACTCAAAAGGCTACGGTGTAGGGAAGACCATTGTACAGAAAAAGCTTAAGCAAAATGCCACAAATTCAATCCAATCAGCATGCAATAGGAAGAAATTTTGCAAAGCCAACATTCTCTAATGTGCTGCTGCTGCCCAAAAGAACCCTGACTGAGGGATTGTGAGGGAAGAGTTCAAAAGGAAACCTCTATGCTTACAGGTTATCCATGGGCAAACAGGAGAAAAAACAAAACCCTCCAGCCAACTCACCAAATTTACAAGGACAATAACAAATCCCGAAGCAAAAATGGAAATCACACTTCATCTTTTTGTGTCTGGTGTGCTGCATTCTGGAAACACCCTCAGATCCTAATACCACAATGACACTTGGCTTTAGAAAACATCTTTTACTTAAAAACAAGGCCTCACTGGACCTGTCAACATAGTCATACACGTCACACATGAACACATCTAACAGTTACAATAAAACATGACTGACATAAAATGATGGCTGCAGAGGGCTTGGCAATGTTTTACTAGAAATAAATATTAGCACTTAAGTCACTGGTACTCTTTGCTGAGGTTAATAAACTCCAGCAAACAAAAAGGTAGCTTGCTAGACTTAGGGGGTCTGTTGGGCCTCTGTGAGGGTAAGAAAATGAGGCCTGAGGAATCATGTCCTAGCTTAAAGCAGACCCCAGCACACGCCTTAGACACACAAGGCTATTTAACACAGTGACCTTTATATACATACAAATATATTCTTCCCTATGCTGATATTTGAACTTCACATAATTTAAAATAAGGAGACAGACACAGAGATGCAAATTCTATATAAACAGTTAAATCTCAGCTTTAAAGTATAAAACATAAGTATGCTTCATACAGTTTTCTGTACAAAAGTATCTCTTGTATGGGGTTCAGTAGCGTTCACATTGTGCAGAGATCTCCTAAGAAGTAGCCAGGCATGAAGAAGAACATCTCTGATATGCCACTGGGAGATCTGTGAGTGACATGGTCTCAATAATACATGTTCTTATCCCACCAGCCTGTGGAGGTAGAAAAAGACAAATCAGAAATAGAGAGCCCGTGGGAGGCAGTGCACAAGCACCAGAGATCATAGTGCTGGATGAGGAAGTACAGCTGCTCTGATTTCCAACTTGACAAAATAACAACTAAGTTCATTTATATCATTACTCACTTCCAGGGTAGAGCCTGATGAACAACTTTCGCATCTCATCATACACCCAAATCAAAATGGCATGCGGTACAGCCACAAACCAGTACTGAACCCTGGAAACAAACAGGAAAGTGAAATGTGGCTTGCTCAAAGAGATAGCCCAGACCCTGGTCAACAGTGGAGGCATGGGTGGAGGCTCTCTGTTAGTTTTCCCTGCCTCACTAGAAATAACACATACATTACACCACCCAGCACAAGCCTGCCAAAGGTCCCTACTTAACCTGAGCTGGGACTGCTAAAAGAAGCCTTGGTCTTTGAAGAAACCTGCTGGATGAGAGTGGTAGTGGTCCAGCTAGGACTGGAAACCTACTTTCTTCCATTGAGAAATAGGAAGATGAAAGGATGGGTTGGAATGAAGGAATGGATCCATAGCTTGGGATCCATTTAATCTCTTTGGGAAGACTGGAGGAAGAGAACCCTAGTATTTATTCCGGTTGTGATAGCTCAGAAGAGAAGCTGCCTTCTTACTTGGTGCCATTGAAGGTCAACTCACCTGAGCATAGTAAAGCTTAGAGCTGTGACACTCCCGAGGCCATAGGATAGGATCAGCGCGACAATGACCTGTGAGGCAATCCCCACCCAGATGACTTTATTTCTGCAACACACACAAAAGCAAACAGATGCTGAATTTTCAAGGTCATGCACACAGCAGATTCCCCTATAGATGGATCTGAGCCACCAGGTGGTTGTTGGGAATTGACAAGGTCAAGTCAACACCTCATGTATTACAGGTGTGGGTGGTTAGAGAAACCTTTGTTTTCCTCATGTGACAGGCTCTTTACCCTGAGGTTAGGCATGGAGGTACCTGAAGAGCCCCTGCTGGAAGATGGAATTCCTCCGAGTTTTCCTGATGATCAGATCTGCAATTTGTTGGATCATGATAGCAACAAAGAAAGCTGTTGAGCCTGTCCATTCCAGGTATTTTCTCTGATACCTTGTCTGTCAAGAGGAAGAGGCAGATGAGACCCTGGAGGAAACCTGACCCTCTCATCCCACTTCATCTAGATTAAGGGTAGACTATCCTCTTGTGTTCAGAAAGAAATTCTCTTGAAACAGATGATAAGGGAAAGACATTAACTTATATTACCCCATTGTGACTATTGGCTTGCTTATACTTCCACAGTAATTGTTGAACTAATGCAAAAGGGTAGTTTGAGGGGCTGGTGAGATGGCTCTGTGGTTAAGAGCACTGGCTGCTTTTCCAGAGGTCCTGAGTTCAGTTCCCAGCAACCACCTGGGGGCTCAGAACCATCTATAAGGGGGAACTGATACCCTCTTCTGGCATGCAGATGTATATACATACAGATGGAGCACTCACTAAATAAAGTTTTTAAGAAGTGAGTTTGAAAGATGAGGCTGAGTTTTCTCAAAATCCAAGTCACTGTTACCAGGGATCTTCCAGACTTGGTAACTGAGAAGCATCCAAATCTGCCTCGTCAAGACCATTCAGGGAAGTGGTTTTCTATGACAGTATGAGTAGGCAGTGAGAAGAGAGAAGGATCAGGTGGCACTGGCCTAGGAACTCTTGACTCACCCATTCCTGCCCGTAGCTATCTTCCAGGTCATTTATGTCATCTGTTTCCCATGCTACCCTCAGGTTGATGAGAGAGGTGGGCCAAAAGCCCTGCTGTGCATAGACAGTGAAATAGACCAGGAAAGCTCCCAGGGCTTGCATGAGACCTGAAAGATTGACAGGTTCAGATGTGCGTGCTATGCTGGGCCCAGAGAGCTTCCCAGTCCTTGTGCTGAGTCATCCTCCCACCCTGCCCAGGACTGGGATGAGTTCTTTGAGGGAGATCTTGTATAGTGAGGCATGGGTAGGGGGATGGTCAACGATGCTACACCCTCGTCATACCAATGTGAAGGTAAGAGTAGATGGCCAGCTGCTTGTTCACCAGTCTGTCTTTCTTCTTGTGGCGAGGTTTCCTATTCATAATGTCACTTTCTGCTTTCTCATAGGCCAAGGCAATGGAGGGGATCTAGAGAAGGAAAGACCTCATGAAACCAAATCCAGGAAGGCAGAATGATGGCAAGCAAGGGTGGGCCAGAGGTGGGAGTGAGTGGGTGATGGAGATGGGGAATGGATATATCTGGGGTGCAGATAACAAGGGTGCATTGTTTATATGGGATTTAAAAACATCCACCTTTTAAAAATCAGCCTGCTTTTGGGCTGAGGGTGTGGTTCAGTGGCACAGTGGTGCTTACTAGAAGCATAAATAAGGACTTGGGTTTTAAAAAAAAGTCAGTCTGATTTTTAAAATTACCATGCTCTGGCGATTCTAAATAAAGCTCACTATTGCTTTATTTAGAATTTTTTAGTTTTTATTTTTGCCACCATACATAAGCCACCATTTACAGCATAAGCCACCATCCTTCCCCTTTGGCATGCAGCTAGATGACAAAGCAATATTGGCACTCTCACAGGCCCTGCCACTAAGAAAGCCCTTAAAGGACAGAGCCCTATCCTTTACATTCAGACTTCCCATTCTAGAGGTCTGGGCTAGGCTAGCGATTTTGTATTTCAAAACTGGTCCACACTTGGAGAATCATTGTAGAATGAAAAAATGATCAGGTGTAGAAAGTCCTGGAATATTGGAATATAAATACATTCTGTTTAGGAAGGGTATCTCAGATCCTCCCTCAAAGATAAACCATCTTTTATTTTCTCCATAAAGCAGAGATCAGACCTAGATGCTACACAAAGGTGAAGAAAGAGGCCATGGTCAGGGTCACCTTTGTACTGTGACTTCAGATCTGTCTCTGTTGGTTTTCTTCTCTTTGGCCTGGGTAAGCCAGAGCCATATGGGGGCTTTATGGAGCTTTGTTTAAATGGAACAGGCTGGAAGATGGGGGAAGTCTTAGGTGAGTGACTGTCAGAAATAACAACAAAAACCTGAAAAAGTCAGACAAACACACACAAGAGACCCTCACTGCGTGAACCAGACACAGTTAAATAACAAAAACCAAACCAACTATTTCATTCTGTGTTTATCTGGGCAGTTCCAGATTACAGTTCTCTAACTTAACACGGTGACTGTGGGACCATCACTTTAAGGCACTATCTCTTTCCCAGAGCATGATTATGTGATCACTTCTCCAAACAATAGGAGATGGAACTGATGATATATTCTTTGAGAAGTCAAAACTCCTGTCTTTAAAAGAAAAAAAAATCAGTACTGGAGATCAAGCCTACTTCTTATCTTAAAAATCTTCTCATGGAGTAAAATGATTTTCATTTCCAAACACCTGACAGATAGCTCTAGTCCACTGCTAGGAAGCATGGTCTGTGGACCAGAAGGAGAAATGTCACCCATTAGAGATGGAGAAATGGCCAATGGTACAGAAGGCTCTTGGCAGCAACAGGTATGACCTTTATATCCTTGGAGCTGTTATCAGATCTTTTAGTACCACTTACAATATCTGTGCCCAGGTCGATGAATAGGATAGTGATGGTGCCAATAGGCAGGGGGAGCCCAGCAACAATGTAGATCAGAAAAGGACAGAGCTCTGCAATGTTCTTTGTCAAGGTGTAAGCAATGGTTTTCTTCAAGTTGTCAAAGATCAGGCGACCTAGGGATGATATATCTCTTTATAGGACTTACTTCTGGTCTCCCAGGAAACCTGGCTACCAGCAAGACAAACCCCAAGACCCCACTCACCTTCTTCCACCCCTGTGACTATAGATGCAAAGTTGTCATCTAGCAAGACCATGTCAGCTGCATTCTTAGCAGCATCAGAACCTGCTATCCCCATAGCAATCCCGATGTCTGCCTTCTTTAGTGCTGGAGAGTCGTTCACTCCATCACCTGTCACAGCAACAACTGCATCCTGTGGAAACCCAGTGGGAAAACAGGAATAAGGCAAGCAGACCACAGGCCCACCAGGAAGCATACCCCTGCTCCTTCTGTCTTGCAACTGGGGAACTACTAGATCCAAAAGGATCTCTTTGGGGAGAAAAGATAAAGATGGACAATCTAAGAAGAAAGAATAAGAAGCTCTGACACAGATATATGCAAAGGAGGAAATTAAAACAAAAACTTCAGTGCATAGTCCCAAGAAAAAGAGGTATTTCATGGAGTCAGCCTTCCTTATTGATGGATTCTCAACCTACAGATTCTACCATCCATACAGAAAAATTCTGGAAAACAAAAGAGAATTGTCTGTGGTGGTATATTATACTTTACAGTACATGGAAAACTAAAGCAGGAGGATCATGAGTTTGAAGCCAGCCTGACATACACAGGAAAACCATGGCTCAATAAACAAAGGCAGAGGAGGGAGGGAGGGAGGAAGGAAGGGAGGGAGGGATGGAGGGAGGGAGAGATGAAGGGAGGGAAAAAGAGGGGGGGAGGTTGAAAAAAGAAAGTTGCCTCTATAGTGAACATGCACAGATTTTCATGACGTTATTTTCCCCAAACCAAACAATATGGAATAGTTAGGTATTTATGCAGCACTGACAATAAATTTGGCAATATGAGTCATATGGAGATGATTTAAAGTCCATGAAATGTGAGTACTTTTTATACAAATGTTCATCTTGAGTGGTGGCGTGCTTTGTGCTTGTAGGTATTCCAGAAACTGCTTCCCCATAGCCACCAGGGATGGTCATTTCTTATGTCTCACTTTCATCATTATATGTATTTACTCTTAGAAAGGCTTTCTATATCTATACCCTTCCACAGTCACAAGTGTTTGAGTGGTTTCTCCACCAGAGCCCATGTTCTTGTGACAAAATAAAGACAGTCAATATGTGGCTATGGGATGCTCTCAAAGACGAACAGAACTTCAGTCCTTCAACATGTGCTCCACATTTCCCAGTGGATAGCCAGGCCTTCCAGTCCTCTGGGAGCTGCTGCTGACCCACCTGCCTCTGACAGCCCTCCACAATGATCAGCTTTTGCTGGGGTGATGTCCGGGCAAATACTATTTCTTGGTAGTTGGTTAAAAGCTCATCCAGTTGTTCTGGGGTCATGTCCTTCAGTTCCATGCCAGTCACCACAGCAGCTTTCGCTTCTCTAAAAGAGACAGAGGAAACTGGATGAAGCCAAAGGCCAGATCATGTAGCAGAACAATTCTGGGCATGCTTTCCATGTCAAGATGATAGCTGAGGCTAAAACTGGAGACCATTTCCTGTTCTCCTATGACAATGGGAGTAAAATGTCAACTAGTCATTTCCTTCCAGAGATGGGCAAGCACTGATGCTTCCTGGGGCAAGATAAGAAGGAAAACACAATTCTTTCCTTCTCATAGTTGCCTGAATGTGTGGTTATGTAGGTGCCTATTAGGCTGGAGCTGACGAAGCAGATAAATAAAAAGTATTGACACAAAGTGTGCATTTGTGCTGGGGATGTGGCATGGCTTTGTGGTAGAGGGCTAGCCTAGATTTGACAAAGTAAACAAGCAAGCAAACAGAATAAATAAGTAAGTAAATAAGTGATCCATTTTACTTCTGGGCAATGTGATGGCGACTGGCATGAAAATGTGTTATCCTGTTAGTGACCATTCTAAACAAATAAACAAGCCCCAGCCCTGGTTTTTGCAGAGGGCTGATTATTTATACAAAGGAGCAATGACAAGTCTAGGTTTGCCAACTGTGCCCAGAGGCTCTCACTACCTGGCAATTATTTATTACCTGGCAACCATGTGTCCCTATCAAGCATGAGTGCCTGGGCAATCTAGGTCATTGTTCTTTCCCTTCTCCCAGATTCATGAAAGAAGATCCCAGTGGTAACCTTCTCAACCCACCATTCTGAAGTCTCTGATTCTTTATGTCATGCAAAGCCTAGGGAGCTCCTCCCCTGTCCGTCTCCTCATTAAATCTGTTTTATTTTCCATCTCCTTGGCTAGATGGGAGGCTCCCCAAAGGTAGGGACAGAGTCTGTTCCAGTGTCTGATATAAAGCCTGGCATATAGCTGGAAGGCACCAGCTAGGTTGAAAGAATTGATGGGTAAGTGAGTAAAAGAATGATAGACGGCAGCTGGATGGCAGACAGACATGATTAAAACAGTAAAGCTTCCATTCTACTTGATAAGTAGAAAAAGAGAGTCTGCTACTTGACTCTTCATTATGAAGTCAACTGAATATGCAAATAAGTGCCTGAGTTGCTCACTGTTAAGGGCTGGTATGTATGAAACCAGAATGATGCTCAGCATTCTTAATTCTACAACTAGGTTAATAGCAGGTAATTTCATCTACTTTTTATTTTACTCTTTCTAAGCTTGGCATGAAGTTTCTAGAGCTGCTGTCTTGTGCTGTATATTTCCAATCAATGATGCAGGACCCATAAGATCATCTTGTCTAGTGATGTTATCTTAATTACTCTAAACACACTAGTGGATGTTCATACAACAATAAAACTACATTTTTCTATAGAGTGTAGCCTATTGTTAAGCTACAGCCAACTTGACGTCATTGAATTTTGAAATACCAGGCAAGGGTATTAATGTGCTTGACATGTACCAGATGCTCAATAAAGTTTTCAGTGAATGAATGAATGTAAATTATAATTCAAGCCACATAGCTCTACCCTGGGAGGGTGTAAGCTAGAGGGTAGTTTATTCCCACTAGTGAAACTCTTGGCCAGGCAGTGGTGGTGAACACCTTTAATCCCAGCACTTGGGAGGCAGAGGCAGGCGGATTTCTGAGTTCGAGGCCAGCCTGGTCTACAGAGTGAGTTCCAGGACAGCCAGGGATACACAGAGAAACCCTGTCTCGAAAACCAAAAAAAAAAAAAAAAAAAGAAAGAAAGAAAGAAAGAAAGAAAGAAAGAAAGAAAGAAGGAAAGAGAGAGAAAGTCTTTAGAGTCAGCAGGGCCCAGTGGGTAAGAGCTTGACCTGCTCCTTGGGCTCTGTGGCTACCTTTTGTTGACTTGCTCCACAGCGATTTTGCGGCGTTTTGCGATGTCTTCCACTGTCTCGTTGTTGGCTGATATGATTCCTACACTCTTGGCAATAGCTTTGGCTGTAATAGGGTGATCACCTGTGACCATGATAACCTGGAACACAGACAACAGAAACTCGTGGGTAGTGAGGGACTTTGCTGGCTAAGTAGGGGTTTATGGGTCAATATTTACTAAAATACTACCTACTCTCACAGGACCTAGAGAGTGATGGTTTTACTCATGGGCAATTCTGGATCTCAGATACCACTGTTTGTGAAGGATGCACTGGTCCTGTCTGGACCCACCCTTTCTCCCAGGCTTCTCATATATCCCCCCGACACTAAAGGAAGCCTTCCTCCTCACCATCATTTTCATCTGTAAAGGGGCCTATAGGTGTCTCCTAGAGACAGTCATGTGCTGCTTTAGCAATCCTAATGCTAACGCAGAAGTGAAAATCATGTTTGACTTCCATATCACGAAGACAAATAAATGGATTATGGAAAATAAAGTACTAAAACTTTTTATTAACTATCTTAGTGTAGGGGGCAGTGGTTCTCAACACTTTGGGGGTCGAATATCAGATATCTTGCATATCAGACAGTTATATTACAATTTATAATAGTAGAAAAATTACAAGTATGAAGTAGCAACAAAATAATTTTATGGTTGAGGGGTCACAACATGAGGAACTGTATTAAAGGGACAAGGCAACAGCGAGGTTGAGAACCACTGCTCTAGGGCAATATAACGTCTAATTCATGGTCCCAGCAAGTTCTTCTCACAGTAGGTACTGCATTGGTTCATCCCACATACATTGTCTTGCTTCGGAGGACAGTTATCAAAATCTCAGCAGTATAAAAAAAGAGGTCTAAAACAGAAATGATGATATCCACTTGAACATAATTAAAGATTGACACTGTGCTCTGATGATTGTTCTTAGAAATGGATATAAAGCAGAGAAAGGAAAATAGCACTCACCTTGATCCCTGCACTCCGACATTTGGAGACTGCATCTGGCACAGTAGACCGAGGAGGATCGATCATGGACAGAAGCCCCACAAAACAGAGGTTGGAAGTGGGAAAGTTTATGGAGTCTACATCAAATGTGTAGCTTTGGGGAAACTTATCTGCTGGTAAGTAGAGGTGACAGAAACCTGGAAGAGGAAAGCACTTCAGGGTAAGTGAAACCAGGAAAAAGTATGACAGCAGGAAAAGAGTCGGGAGATGGTTGTGTGGCGTGGTGGTGGAGGACATGCTTAACATATGTGAGGTACTAGGCAGCAGCAGCTGGGTACAGCATCATCTTCAGTCTCTGGGGCTGAAGTCAAAGGCATTCTTGTGTCTGGGAGACCTCCACAATCATGTGACTTTCATCAGCTTTTACATCAAGTAATCTCCAGCATGGCTCACTGCTGCTCATGTTTCAGTAAGCAGGGGAGAAGTCAAATAGGAGGTTCCTAGAGTGACTCTAGTCACACAGAGGCCAATCTTTTGATAGAATAGTTGCTTGGTGCTGTGGGTTATGTAGTATGTGTTCACATCATTAGCATCTAATTTATGCTTTTTATCTGCTATACAAACTCAAATAGTCTGTGGAAATACACATTCCACAGATTCCGAGTCAAGTGGTAAGCACTTTCATGGTGTTTAATGAACCTTATCACCAGCCATGGGCTGTGAATTCATCATTCTGTAGCTTTGAATAGGTGCCATTTGGTCAGCCCATGATTCTGACAGTGGGACTCACTAACCCAGCACACCACTTCAGAGATGGCATTTCTAAAGCTCCTTCCATCTCTAACATGCCCCATCTCAGTTCCTTAGTTATCTTTCCCCTGCTCGTAAAATGAGATAAGTAATCATTTCAGAAGTCACCAATTCCCTCTAAGAAGTCGCAGGGTCTCCACACTTGCCCAATAGAGTCTCATTGTCTCTTCTTCATACTCACATCACGTGGCTTGTATCAAATACCCACCCTTTCCCTTGTTCAGTGAAATGAGAGAAGCTGCCTTTTAGTGAGACCAGTGTCTCTCCTCCCATCGCCTCCAGTGATCCTCAGCAAACCCTGAATGTAACTCTGACCAGCTCACCCTTGTGGCAAAGCTTTCTGTATTCTCTCCTAACTGTAAGACAAAACACCAGTTCCTCAACAAATATTTGAGGACTCTACGTCATGGCTTCAATTGGTCTCCTCAGCCCTGTTTCTTGTAGCTACTCCATTCTGGGTCACTGCATGGACCACTTGCTCCACCATATGTATAAATCTCATCCTTTTTTTCTTCCTCTTGGCCTCTGCAGTTTTCTCACATGGACACGTTCCCTTCCCCCATTCAAATTCTGCAACTCAAGACCCAATTTAAAATGTGATTATAGAAGAAGTCTCTGGCTATGTCTGGAATCCACCTCATTCTCTTCAGTGTTGTCTCTTACATGTTTCTCTCTTGTTTATATATAGTTTTCCTTTTTTCAGTGTTGGGGATTGAACCCAGGACCTCACACATGTTATGCAAATGCACCACCACTACACTCCAGCCCCCCATATTCTTCTTTATGTGATCCATGTGATGCCATGGCTACTCTGCTGGTTAGTGGGACTTCTCTCATGACTCTCAGATGAACATGGATGTCCTATTACACTCACCCAACACACGCTCGCCCAGACCACCCAACTCCATGTAGGCTGTGTGGAAGGCATCAGCAGAGCTCTTGTCCAGTGGCTGCTCCTGGCCGTTGATCATGATGGTGCTGCACTTCTCTAAGATCCTCTCGGGGGCCCCTTTCATCACCATGAGGAAGCGTTTGTCATTAGGGTCCTCTGTTTCATGTATGGAGACCTGGGAGGGCATATATTGAGCAGGTTAGCTATGGTATTTTAACCATGGTTCTTCCAATTAGTGACAGGACATGCAGGGGGAACATTTTTTTCTTGTCATTTGCCCTCAGAGGATAAAAGAAGAGGAAGAATCATAACACTCCCAAGCATGGTCTGTCCTTTGGTATTTGTAACTAATTAAAAAGCTAGATTTGGGTGACCCAGAAGGTCATGGTGAGCTGGAACCCAAACTGTGTACAGCTTGTATTTTAAACAGACCCTGGCCCTTTAAGGCCCTTTGAGGAGGCCAGGAGTACTCATGTTTGAGTAAACTATGGACAATGGTGTGAGAGTTGAAACTAAAAGAGCTCTTGTCTCACTTCTCCCTCCTATTGGTGAGCAGCCATCTTTTGTATGTGCATATGTATGTATGTGTCTGAGAGCACATGTGTGTGCAGGTACACATTACTTGTGTGTGTATGTGGTTCACAAGCACATGCACAGGTATGTTTGTGAGTGTGTGTGTGTGTGTGTGTGTGTGTGTGCGCACGCATGCGCACATGTGTTCCACTTTGTTATTTGAGTGTCTCTCATTGGCTTGGAGTTGACTCATTGGCTAGGCTGTTTGGCCAGTAAATTCCAGAGATTTGTTTGTCTCTGCTTCCTAGACCCAGCTTTTTCACATGAGTCCTATAAAACAAACTTGGGCCCTCATGTTTGCCAGGCAAGAACTTTGCTGACTGAGCCATCTTCCCAGCCTTGAGCAGCCATTTGTAAATACTGAGCTGCCAAGGTCAGTAGGAATTCCTGCGCCTCCATGTCTCAGGTTGAATCTAGTTTAACTATCTAGACATAAGGAAAGATAGTGGAAATGTAGAGAAGAAGGCACTGTTACAAGCAGCCTCTTCCTCCTCCTCTTCCTCCTCTTCCTCTTCCTCTTCTAAATAGTGCTTTATAGGAATTAAACTCAGAGCTTTTTAAATGCAAGGCAAACCCTCTACCATTGAATCAGTTGCTCCAGGCCAGGAAGCTTTTGAAATCTTTTTTGGAGAAAATAAGATGTACAGGAAATTGCCTCCACTTTGGCACTAACAGTTGACTCAAATCAGTAGTTGCTAGACTCCAAGTTATCAAAAATAAATATAACTTTTAAAAATAATAGAAAGAAAATAGGTTTGCCAGTTTTGCTTTTTAGTGACCAAGAAAAAATCATCAAGTCAACCAATTAACCAACCAAAACTTAACCCAACCTAACCTAACCCAAACCAAAGAGCCTCCTGTGTTAATTACCATTATCCTTCATTTTCTGAATGGTAGGGTGGAGCTCAGTGGCAGAGTTTACCTAACACATGTGAGACCCCATAGTTCAATCTCCAGCACTACAAAGAAAAAGCTCTAGAGTGAGGTGTGCTGGCACATGTCATGGTCACACAATGATGGCATCACCTACCATGACTACATTTATTATTCAAAGCCCAAGTCATACCCCTCACTCTTAGCCTGGCACTCTGCAGGAAATACCATGCAGTAGGAAACTGGACAGACAAGTTATGGGTCTGAGTTGAAGAGGACAGTCATGATTGGTTGCTGCCATTGTTGGAGTGATTCAAGTGAGTAGAAGGGAGGTACCTATCTCCATTCCAATGGCATATGAGATGGAAGTAAAACATAATTTGGCTGGTTCTCAGGACTTGTCTCCTTCAAGGGCAGTCTCAGGCAAGCTTCTTTATGTGGCTTGCATGATATTTCTGCATTTGTGCAGTAGACTGTATAGATTTTAGTGATGTCAAAGCTGGTTGGTGCCACCTAGACACTGTGAGACTATGATCACAACACAGGGGTTTTTATTCCTATTCTATACATTTGGATCCATTGGTCCTACCTCATAGGTCTGGTATAAGGATTAAGTGATATAAAATAGATAAAGTGCCAGTTTATATAGTTGGTGCTTATATCCTTAGAAGATTGGCTCCAGAGCCTAAGAATATTAAAATCTAAGATACCTCTCATACCCAATATATATATATATATATTAGTATTTGTATATATTAGTATTTGCACTGGAGCTAGGCTCATTTTCCATAATCCTTAAATAACCTATAGATGACTTACACTATCTAATATCTCAGTGCTTTGTAAACAGAGAGTGTTCCAAGTCCATCTGCCTGTCTGTCTGTGAGCACACATGTAAGACACATGGACTAGGGTTAGGGTTAGGGTTTGGGTTATTCCTAGTCTGTTTGCCTGTCTGTCTGTGAGCACACATGTAGGGCACATGGACTATTCTTAGGAGGAGTAGACCCTAAGAAGCTCTTTGTTTTTCTTTCTCTACTTTACTTCAGGGATGGTAAGGTTTGCTCTATGTCTTTTCTTGGTCACTAGAAAGGAGGAGGAGGAGGAAGAGGAGGAGGAGGACACCAATGACACCACTGGCAAACCTGACCTGGTTTGACCAATGGTCTTGCCCACATCTCTCACCCCTCCAAGGTCTTTTGAAGCCAGGTCTGGTCTGGAATTTAGATTCACAAATGGATGAGTACAGTAGTTGTGTTGTTCTAATGACAAAGGTTGCCAGTTGTGAGGGAAAACTCACCTGAAATTTGTTGGTAGAATTAAAAGGAATTTCAGCCACTTTGTGGTTTCTTTTCCTTATTTCCATCACATCACCCAAAATAACCTCTGAGAACTTTAGCAGAGCAGTTTCTGAGGCATCCCCAACCACAATTCTCTGGGAATCAAGAGATAAATGTTTACAGCACATCATAACCTAGTTCTTTTGTGACTGTTTTCAACAAACCAAGTTGCCTTTAGTACATCAACCAACAAGTGATTGACTAAGCTTATTGCCTAGCTGAAGAGACAAGGTCATCATCAAGTGGCTATCGGTGATTGAGCCAGGACAGTGGTAAGAACATAAAGCAATGGTGCCATCTACAGGCACAGTGGAAGTTTGAGCAAGTGGGAGTTCTGGTGTGGAATGGGGCTTCCTGAGTATGGTCTACATGAGTAGGAGACAGATATGGGTGGGGGGAGCCTTCTAGAATGCACTGCCAGGGGGAGATGTACAGCTGTGCATGGTAAGACAGTAAGAAGTGTCATCAAAACTCAAGTAGTAGAAAACAAGGACTCACAGAAAAAAATTAAGCAAACTTTGGTGAAGGTAAAACCAATCAGTATTTAAAAAATTAGTGGCAGATGAAAAAGATGGAAAGGTAGGCTAAAAGCAGGGGAGGCCAGCGAGAGGTGGGGAGGCCAGTGAGAAGTGGTCCGGCAACTTAGATGCAAGTACTGATCATAATAGAAGTGTGAAGTTGTATGTATATATTTCAAACCTACAATGGGAGGACATGGTGGCTCACTAGATAGAAGATAATCAAAGATAATTTCCAAAACTTTTGGCCCAAAGACAAGGAGAATGACTATGTCAGTGCAAACATTTTGACATCCTGTTGACTGGAAGCCAGGCTGGGCACAGAAATAAGAAGGGGGCAAATCAGCTTTATGGAGGGCAGGGAGAGAGGGAAGGGAGGGAGAGAAGGAGGGAGGAAGGAGAGAGGGAAGGGAGGGAGAGAGGGAGGGAGGAAGGAGAGAGAGAGAGAGAGAGAGAGAGAGAGAGAGAGAGAGAGAGACAGAGAGACAGAGAGACAGAGAGACAGAGAGACAGAGAGAGAGAGAGAGAAGAGGAAGGTAGGGTTGTGGTTTTAATTCAGTGTTCTAAGACCAGTTGACATCCTGTTTTCTAGTCAAGAAGAGAATGTGCTACATAAGATCAGACCTTTTATTGCCACACAATTGTATTTTGTAATTCAACAAATAGCATTTGTATATCAAGGAACTCTGATTATGTCCAGCTAGCTTCCAGGAGTCAAGAAAGCAAGTTCAAGACACATTTGCTTCTGGAAATGAGATTGAATTTGGATTTCTGCCAAGCATCCTTGTAACTTTAGTGATAGATGGAGTGAAGAAGACCTTCTGCTCATCTCTGGAGCCAGATTTGTTCTTACCAGAGCAAACTTTGCCCAGTGGGAGAGACTAAATTAAACACATAAGTAGAACACAGAGTGACCTCGTGTTGCCTGTGACATATGATCCAGAGTGGCAGTAGTCTTACCTTCATGATGGGGACATTCTCCTGGCCTGGTCTGAACTCTGCTCGGTTACACAGTGTCATTATCTTGGACAAGGAAGCCCAGGTTCCAGAGCTTTGGTCAAAGGCTTGTTCTGGACACAGAGAAAGAATAGTGGTTAACATGGGTCTGCCATGCCTGAGTCACACCCTTCACGTAAGACCAGTGAGCCTCAGCCCCTTCACTTGGGTCCTTGTCTTTAGGCTTGGATGTTCCACAAAACTCACTTGTCTGGTTTTCACTTGTATCAGCCACAAATATCTGGTTGTCAAACCACAAGTGAGCCACAGTCATCCTGTTCTGGGTCAAGGTCCCTGTCTTATCTGAACAGATGATGGAGGTGGAGCCGAGAGTCTCCACTGCCTCCAGATTCTTTACCAGGCAGTTCTTCTTAGCCATCCTTTTTGCTGTCAGTGACAGGGTAACCTAGCAAGAGAGGAGAAGGATGCTTTGGGGACAATCATTTTGAACTCAGATTATCTGGGACTGACTTTCAGGAGAGAACTAGGATGCTGTTAGGCCAGAGGTGGTATTATAACCAGGAGTCTTGATTAGTGAGTTGAAAGCCACCCCAAAGCCCTATTAACCACGATCTTAAAAAAATAGATTAAATATAGGACACTTTTATTATCTCTATATTCTTTGAAGAAAGTGCTCTGGAAGTCCACAGGCAGCAAGGCTAACCCATGCAATTCAAAAGCGAGCCCAGTTAGCTGGAGTGTGGTAAACTGCTTGCCTAGCATTCATGAGGTGCTAGGTTAAATTTCCAGAACCACAAAACACAAAAAAAACCAGGAGTGAGACCTGGAACTCAAAAATATTTTTCTTCTGTCTTTGGTCTGGACAGCTGTTGGCCACTGCTCATGGAGTTAAACAGCTAGCACATGAACTCTCCTCCCACTCCCATGGGCCTCCACAGCAGACTGGGGAAGAGGGATCTTTTGTCTAAGGAATGAATTAGATGGGCCTGGGAAAAAAGGAGACAGGAGAGCCAGGGCTAAGTCTGAGGTGGTAAGGAAGGGGTTGAACTACTTTGTAAATAGAAGGGGTGGAGAAAAGGGATTTTAGAATAGCAATCAGGACATGCATTACATTCAGAAATTCTATAAATAGGGGCTCAAAATTTATCTTATCTGTATAAAAGGGCATGTGAAATAAACCTAGATCTCCTGAAAATATAGTTTGTAGGACAATGCATCCAGATGTTAGAAACATCACAATTCTTATTGTCAACCACTCTGTGAAACAGCCCCATGGTGGTCTCTGGAGAGGAGGGAGTGTTGCTCTGCAGATGGGGGAAGCTGTGTTTCTACAGCCACAGTGGTAGGTGCCAAGAGGCTCTCTAACAGCATAAACTCACAGTGACAGTAGCCAAAAGGCCCTCTGGCACATTGGCCACAATGATGCTAATGAGGAAGATGATGGCGTCAAGGACATAGTACTTCATGCACACTGCGGTGATGAAGAAAATGATGCCAATGGATACAGCCACTCCTGCCACAATGTGGACAAAATGTTCGATCTCAATGGCAATGGGCGTCTTCTCACTCCCAACGCCTGAAGCCAAGGAGGCTATGCGCCCGATGATGGTGCGGTCACCCGTGTTGATGACAATGCCAGTTGCCGTACCTACAGGGAGGAAGACATTTTTCTCCAGGAGTTCTGCTCACAGCCCTCTCTGAAAGCCTGCACAGGGAGTCAGCACATGACAACACAAAAGACTAACATTAGTTCTCTGGTCCCCTCAATTCTGCATTTTTTTTTTTTTTTTTTTTTGGAAAAAGCTTAGAGCAACGGACTGGAGGGATGAACACCTCAGAGCCAAGAGGGAAAGGCATGTACCCCTGAGAGCCAGCTGGTCTTACCTTCCAGACACGTTGTAGAATAGAAGCCTATGTTCTTAGTTTCCAAGGGGTTTTCATGGGTAAACTCAGTTGAACGAGCCTGGGGCTCAGATTCCCCAGTGAGAGAGGAGTTATCTACCTGAAAGAAAATTTGAAAGTAATTCAAAATTAGCTACTTCAATCTCTACTTTTCCTTCAAAATAGGCAGAGAGTGCTGGGTGCCTCTCAGCAGTCTCCTGGAGGAAGATGTTCTTGATACTCACTTTGCACCCTTGGGAAAACACCAGTCTGATGTCTGCAGGGATCTGGTCCCCTCCTTTAATCTCTACAACATCCCCCACCACCAGCTGCTCTGCTGGAATGATCTTCTTTTCTGAATCTCGGATGACAAGTGCTTGCTGTGGAAGAAAGCCATGACAGACACATAAGCCTCTGGGGGGCACTGTGACCTTCCCACTGTCTGCACCTATAAAACCCTGAAGTGGGGGCTGTGGACCCATGGCTGTCAGAGTGGTGAGGGAAAATCTAATGATTGCTTCACATTAGTTCTAGGAACCAGAAAAGTCTACCATTGCTTGACAGATACAAACAAGGCAGATGATGAAGGTAAGGCCCCTTCCACATGGCCAGGTGGGTGAGAACCAGCCAAAAAACTAGACTTCTGCTGAGATGGGGAATGTTAAGGAAGGAGCATCGTTGCTTCTTTCTTGGTGCTGCAGGAGGCATCTCTTGTACCCAGAATTTCCCTTCTAACTACCAGTTATTTCATTCAGGGCCAGATAGGTTTCCTAGCTAAGGACACAAGGATTCCTGGGAGAAAAAATGTAGAATAGATGAATCTCCTTAACTGTTGGTGAAGAATATTCTAGAACCATCTGAGAAGCTGTCCAAAATGGTTCAGAACATGTTGTACAATGACCAATGTTTTGTCCTGCTTTTCCCTTGACTGAGCATTTTCCTTGGTCCCACTTCAGCCCGTGACCCTCAACTCTGTGATGAACTAGGATTCAGAGACATGAGCTAATCTGATGACAATGCCCCAGACAGCAAGGAGTGTCTTACCCAGAATTCAGGAAGAGGCCAGAGTTTCATGGCTCCTACTCACCTGGGGGATCATCTTACTAAAGCTGGCCATAATGTTGGTGCTTTTGGCTTCTTGGTAATAAGCAAAAACCCCCGTTAAAATAACAACCAGGACAAGTATGGCGCCCAAGTAGACCTGGGTAGGGAGGAGAGGCGGTAGTCATGGAAACAGATAACTCCAGATCTGAAACAGTCTAGCCTGACTAACAGTGTGACACCAAAGTGGAAAATTCCTACCTTATTTCATGTGACAAATCACAAATACAGAGATGCTGAAAGTATTGCCAAGAATTACCTTCAGGCTATGAAGATGAGTATATATGAAGAAAACTAATTTTGTGCTAATGTTAAGATATCTTTTTTATACATACATATACTCACCTCCCCACCCCAGTCTGAAATCTAGAACATTTCTTATTGCTCATGTTCCTTGGCAATCAATCACTCTCTGCCCCCATGCCAGCCTGAGGACCATAGAGATGTCCTCCAAAGATGTGCCTTTCTGGTATTTAACATCAGTGACCACAAACAACACCTAGCTTTTAACAGCTGGTTTCCTTCTTGTGGTATCAACCAGTTTACTTCTTTGGGCTTGGCACTGGGTGGTGAGCAAGTATAGCTGCCCTCCATAGGAAAAGGAGAGATTAGCTGTGAGGAAAGAGCTTTCCAAAAATACTTCATGGTGATTTTCTTCCTCATTACAGACTAAGTGTTTTGACTGTATTCTAAAATCCACACCTATATCGTCCAAAAATGAGATACCACTCATTTCAGAGCTGGGAGAATCTCCCCATATTCACCACTGCCTGGTGGGTGGTAGAATCCTAGCTTTAGCCTAGCACTGTGTCCACTGATGGCTGCACCCAGTGACTGCTTCTGCCCGTAACCAAGGGAAACCCAGGATGGCTGCTTACATTGTCTAGGGATGCCGTATTGTTGACATACTGGATCACATATGCGATCCAGCACAAGGCAGCACCTATCCACAGAAGGATGGAAAAGCCCCCCACCATCTGTTTGAGGAACTTGATAATCTCTGGAGTTTGCTTGGGAGGGGTAAGGGCGTTGGGCCCATCTCGAGCCAGGAGCTCTGTAGCTCTGATACTGGAGAGACCCTGAAAAAGCCAAGAAAAACATACATAGAAACAAACAGTTGCTCCCTGTTTCTGCAGGTTGTTGTTAGGATTAACACTGCCCCAGAAGGCCCTGGAAATGTGAATTATATTTGTTCTCCCAACTCCCACTTTTTTTTTTTTGACAAAGATTACTTTTGTTTTTATTGACAGGGTACCTACCATGTGATATCTAATGTGTATACATTACAAAATGTTTAAATTAGCTTAAACATCTGTCTCCAAAAACCATTTCTTAACTTGGATGGTGTGTAGAGATTGCATCCAGATCTAGGAAAATGTTGTATCTCTAAGCTATATTCCCGACCCTATTTTGACTTTTTATTTTGCGACATTGATACTGGCCTTGGACTTGCAATCCTTCTGCCTCAGCCTCCCAAGTGCTTTGACAAATGCGTGTGCCACCACATCCAGCACAAACTATCACAGAGAACACCGTGTGCATATCTTTCTAATTATGTTTAAGCTAGGGGCAATATCTGTTTTGTTCATTGTCACTCTGCTCTAGGATCTGATGCTTTTGCTTGGTAGTAACTCATGTATTTGCTTCACCACTGGATTCTGAGGTACCAACTCATCTTCTTACTACTCTTTATCCAGAGCCCCTTTTCTCAGTAACTGTTGAACATTTCCACAAAGCCACTCTAGAGGTATTTCTAATAGTACCTATGATGGTCACATGCATACTGAACACATACAAACCCTTTCCATTGTCCTTGTTCCCAAACAATACAGCACAATACCTATTTACACAGCATTTGAAGTACATTACATGTAAATGATCTAGAGATGCTTTAAAGTATATGGGAGGGGATCTATCTATTCCATGCAAAGAGTGTGCCACGGCACAAGGGACTTCAGTGTTTGTGAATTCTGGAACAGATCATTCAAAATAAAACCCACTTTTACCTGGAAGGGTTTGTGGCCCCATGGAGAGAGCAACAATACCAACCAACCAGAGCTCCCAGGGTCTAAACCACTAGCCTGGGAGCACATAGAAAGGAACCCATGGCTCCAGATATATACGTAGGTTAGGATAACTTTGTGGGGCAGAGGTAGGAGAGGAGATCCTTGGTCCCATGAAGGCTGGATGCCCTAGTGTGGGGGTGAGGAGGTGGGACTGGGTGACCAGGAGGGGGCACATCCTTATAGAAGCAGGAGGAGGAGGGATGGGGTAGAGAGTTCCTGGGTGGAAGGAATGGGGAAAGGGGATAACAACTGAAATGTAAATAAAATATCCAATTTAAAAAAAGAAATATCAAAATAAAACTTTCAATAAATAAATAAATAAACAAACAAATAAACAAATAAACCCACTGCTGTCTATGCTGTATTCTTTACCTTCTCCCTTCTACCCACCCAGCATCTGACTTCCTCTTACCTCTAATTTTGCAAACAAGATCAGAAGTTAAGTCAGATCCCCTTGCACTATGTGCTTGCTATCTATCTATCTATCTATCTATCTATCTATCTATCTATCTATCTATCCATCCTTTATCTATCCCCTCCCTCTCCCCTCCCCCTCCCCCTCCTCCTCCTCCCTCCTTCCCTCTCCCTCTCCCTCTCCCTCTCCCTCTCCCTCTCCCTCTCCCTCTCTCTCTCTGTCTCTGTCTCTGTCTCTCTCTCTTTCTGTCCTTCTGTCTGCCTTTCTGTCTTCCTGGGCTACCCTGTTTTGGACCTTCATTTCAATGCTATCTTTTTGTTCCATTTTTTAAAAAGTTTTCTATTACCCCCCCCACACACACACACATATCAAACTTGAAAACTCAGATTGCTCTAGACCCACTCTTACCCTGTCTGACCTAGGGCATTCCTCAGATGTATATCTGGACCGTCGTTCTGAGCCCCTTTCAGATGCTATAGGTTGTTCTGGTCCCTCTGTTCAGAAATTATCCATCTCTCGTTGTACAGTTTCAAACTTTCCATTGTCACCCCAGTTGTATAAAGTGAATATTAAGCTTCCTTACTCATCTGCTGCCTTAATGCTAGGATGGCCTACTCCCGATTGCCTCTCCTGCCAGTCCAGTGTGAATCACATAGTAAGTTTTTTCTTTTTTTCATTTGAACAAGTGAATATTCATTTTCTGTCATGAGGTTTAAATTTGGGCTAGAGAGATAGTTCAGTGGGTAAGAGCACTTGCTACTCTTGCAGAAGACTTGGGCTTGGTTCTCAGCACCCACATAACAATGCACAGCTATCTGTAACAGATCTAGGGGATCTGATGCCCCTTCTGGTCTCTGTAGGTACTGCATACATGAGGTGCATTTATACATGGGTAGCCCAAAACACTCATACACATAAAAATAATAGATACATAAATAAATGCTTTTAAAAAGGAGGCTTAAACTTTTGAAATTGAACTTGGATTTGAACTCACAGAAGTAAGCAATACTTTTTTAGTAAAGAATTTGTAAAGTTCTAAAGTGCTTTTGGGCTCTGAGATGGAGACTCTGGGACCTTACTTTCTAACAATGGCCTTCCCAGCCTCCAATAAAAAGAATTCCATGCACCATTTTTCTTCATAAATCAACTTCTGGCCATAATCTTAAAGAAGGTCTGTGTCATTCTGGGGACCATATCTCCCATGGTGCTTATGCCTGTGCATCTAGCTAAGTAAAAGAGCCTGGCTGGGGCCTTGGGTCAGGTACACCAGCTCCAGCAGGTGGAGTGGTTTGTCTTAGGGTCCAGTCATACAGAAAATGGTTAGCTTCACAGCTGTGACCTTAAGTTACCCACAACCTGAGCACACCAGCATTCATTTTTGTATAGTCAGGATGCTTGCTCCCTCAGACCTTCAGTCCCCTCATGGCTTACCTGGATGATGTTTGTACCATATTTCTGTTCCAATTCTGTGTTACTTAGTCTGTGGTCATCCTGAAATTCACAGAAGGAAAGGGAGTAAATGACATCATTCCAAAAGACTCCATCCACTTTAAAAGCTGGAAGTGGTATTGAGGCTAGAAGGGGCCAGGAAGGTTGGCGAGGTGGGGAGCAGGCTTGGCAGTGAGTAGCTGGTGCAGGGGAACCATGTCTGCTCTGTGAATATACACAGGGCCATTGACACCCAGATACCATCCTTGGTTTTTATGAGCAATAGAATGCCTACCTGCCTCAATCTGCCCTCCAGCTTATGCAAGCCCTGGCATCGTCATCCAGTAGCTATGAGCTAGTTGGAAACTTCATTCAGATCTGGATGCTGAGACTGGCTGGAGGTGATAAGCAAAGCCAAAGTACATGTGAAGTGAGAGCAGGAGGGAAGGGAAAGGAGGAGCAAGGCTGTGGCTGTGACTGTGGCTGTGGGTGCTCTCTCTGCTCCTAAGAATTAGAGCAGCACAGGCTCATCACTCAGAGTGATTGGTTCCAAGGCTCTAATTTGCCACAGAGACCAAAGTTCAAGGGTATTCAAGTACCACATCACAAACTGCAGGACTCTTGTGAGAAGCTTGTGAGAGTGGAGGGAGGGCATGTTCTTATAAGGAAGCAGGAAAGCAGGCTCAGATCATGGGAATCATTTCTCTATACAGTACTCAAAACACTTAAAGAAAAAATGCATGTCATAATTATAGGCAGAGCTGAGCATGGTGGTGCCGGTACACAGGATGCCTGAAACCTCGGGACTTGAGAGGCCCACAAACAGTATTGAAGTTCAAGGGCAGTGGGGACACATATCAAGCATCGGTATGAACAACAAGACCCCATCTCCAAAGTCAATATAGATAAGTAGATATATGTAAAATTAAAAAATTATCAGGCTTATGAGAGAATAGGCATATATTCAAATAGCAACCTCAAGGGAAAATGGTGTGTCTTAACCTTAAACTCCAGAGACACACAGGACATAATAATCCTTTCTGTGTGTTACCTAGTACTGCTCAGTTAATTGTACCCACAACCTTAACAGATAGGCATTGAGTTTTCCCTCTTTAATCAGGTCTCAGCCAGAATGAAGCCCAGTCTGGCCTTGAACTTGTGATAACTGCCCCCCAAGCCTTCTAAGTGCTGGGGTTAAAGATGTTTGGAAAGAGAAAAGTGAGTGTTACTCACACTGAGATTTAAACTTATGTCAGTCTAACTTCTGAGCCATGTCCTCAAATGTCTACCAGGAACCATGCATACAACAGCCTAACAGTTTGCTTTTAAATGCTTAACAAGCACTCCAGGAAAGTTAAACAGCTTTGACTTCTAGTATTTGCTGGTTCCTCATGAGGCTCTCACTATGCCAAGTTCCCCAGTAGTGAACAATTGGCAACCTAGCCTGAATGAGCTGTTTGCATAAGTCTGGCAATGGCCCAACAAGCACAGGGCTTTGAGGTCTGCCAATGAACCGCAGAGATGATCCAGCTCAACCTCAAGCTCCCTTCGACCTTCCAGAAAGGATATCTTACATTTCACATCTAAGGTAGCTGTTCATTAAAGCCATCACCTGAACTTAACTTAACTTCTAAAACACAGCTCATTCTCCCCCCATACACTTCACAGACTTCCCATTTTACATAAGGAAAGAGAGGGGAATGGGGGGATGGGTGGGATGGAGTTGGGGGAGGGGCGTTTCCGTAGCTTGATTGTGCCCAGTTACAGCTCAGTCCTAGAGAGGGACTTAAGAGTGAGACTACGATTCTACGATTGTGGAACCCAAGCCCAACATTTCTCCCCAGTGCAGTTTTTTTCCAGGAACACATAACACCTCACATGGTGAGTGAGAAGAATGAGCTCTGTCTCTGGGGCTTACAGTTAACCTCCTGGTCCTATCTAGGACTGTCTCCAACCAGAACTCTGGTCACAAAGATAGAGAAGGACACAGGAGAACAGGGCACAGCAAGTAAAGATATCATCACACTCTAAAACAAACAGACAGACAAACCAACCAACCAATAAGAAGATTGGAATCCTTCTAAGATATTCCAAGCCATTGACGACATTTTTTTTCTTTTCTTTACTAGAGGAAAGTTATAACGACAAATCCTCTGGTGAAGGTGCACCAGACTCTTTTGCCTTCAGGGGACTGACCAGATCAAGTTCTTTCTTCAGCTCCTCCTTCTCATGATTCTTGTTGGGTTCTGAGTCTTTGTTCTTCACTCCCTTGAACTTTTTGTCATCTCTCTGATCTGCCGGCTCGACATCTTTAGTTCCATTGAGCTCTACAGAATAAACTTCTGTTTTCTGGAAGAGAAGCAGAGGTGCAATATTAGCTCCACATAGGTTTTCTTGAGGATGTGCCTAATTCCTCCCACAGCGTGAGCTTCCCCAGAGGAAGAAGAGCACAGGCCCTTCATCTCCACCTGAAGAGGAAGTGGAGGACCCAACTGTTAAAAGTTTCCCTCCTTCCCTCGCAAAAATTATTTCCCTTCTTCTCTGTGGAGACAGGAGCCTGGTCTGGTACAGCCCTGGAAGCATCTCCAAACCGGAGCTTGCAGAACAGCTGCTGTGCGGAGCTTGGCAACCCTGAGGACCCTTCTTACACATCTATACTAATTTCTATACACTGTCTGCCCAAATATACATACATACACACACACACACACACACACACACACACACACACACACACACACATATATATATATATATACTTGGCGGCTGGGAGTGAGTTCAGATCGCCTACCCGCTATTGTCCCAAGACAATTTTTTCTTTTTCCTGCGCTTCCCGATGGTCGTCTAAGGTCCCCACTAGAGATGGAGATATCACGCACCCGGCGCATACTGTGGCTGGTTGTCCAACTCGCTGACAAACGATGTAAGACACCACCAGATGCTGGTGTGCTGAAGTGAGCCCGGTGGGTGTGAGGATGTGCGGTGCCTTAGTGGCGCGCTGGACTGTAGTTCGCAGAGAGAAGTCCGATCTTTTGGTGGAGGTGGCCGCGGCGGTGTGCTGGTCCGGGTCCCGAGCGGTGACGGCGACCAAGTCAGCGCGTTGCAGAGACAAGGCGCCAACCCGGACCCAGCGCGCTCCTCCGCGGCCGATCGCCAGCCCCTGTCTCGGGAGGTGGAGCGCGCCTTAAATGCCGCGCGCTCCGCCCACGTACCTGGGGCGACACAGCTCACAGCACTGGGGACGCCCCTGGGATAGGAAACCAGAGGGCGTGCAAGCCTGGGTGGGGTAGGATTGGTGGCCAGGGATCTGAGGATCTAAGGTGGGGACTTCTCTTGGTACCTGGCTGGAGGACCCAGGGGTCTGCCTTAGGGCGAGTCTGGCGACCAGATTCAGCCGGTTGCACAACAGCAGTGGCATGCGCCAGATGCGTGCAGCCTCCCCCCTCCCCCCTCCCCCAGTGCAAGCGCCACTGTCTGTCAATCGGACTTCGGGTTCCTGCAAGCCCTGGGCGCATCTACACCTTGTGGAGCTTTTATGAAAATCCACACCCACTTTCTTTTAAAAATGCAGTTTCCTTACCAATAAAGGAATTTATTAAAAGATGTGTAAATGAGGGTGGGGTGGGGGGATTGCAGTATCTAGCACTAAGTATCTATCTAAGGTGACCGGGCAATAAATACCAGTTTTAGAGTTCATTTACTTAGATAAGTGAGACTCTAGAGCAGTCTGGGCCAACCGCCAAAGACTTTAAGGAGTAGCTGAATTACTTTGTAAAGATCCAGAAAAGAAATAAAAATCTAGAGTTTTGAAACAATATTGGAAGTATTGAGGATAAGGGGACCTGGAAGGGGCGAGGGGGCAAGTGCTTTAGGAAAGTTAGGTCAGAGCTCCTGAGGAGGAGCAGGCTGAGGGTATTCAAAGACAGGCTTTGTGTGGGACTTTGAGGACACAGATGGATAGCTCCATAATAGAGCTCACAGATGCTTCCCTCTTTACTACCTCCTACCTGTCCTGCCTTTTTCCTGCAGAGAGGGCAAAATTCGAAATCTAGGGTTTTCCTACTGTGGACCAGGAACCAAACCATCAGTCCAACTTCTTCAGTCCTAGGATTGGGAAGACTGGCTGGGATGTCTAGACTCATTCCACAGATTCTTTAGACTTGGAGGGGATATTATGTTCCAACACAGACTGGAGCCACAGTGGGCTTCTGAAGACCTCCGTATTGTCTTCCCTGCTTCTTCCAGGGGAGAATGTAGTTCAAAAGAAAGAACTGCATATAAGAAGGAAACACAGAGTCTATGTGAATCATCTAGTCCACCGTTTGCTTGGGGTCTGAGGGGTGGTGTTGCAGGTAACTTTTACATATTTACCAGCTGTTCTGGCCACCCCTTAACTCTGGGACAACATAGGCTGGAGAAGTAAGATCCCAGAGAGATGTTCCTGGCTCAAGGTCATTATGGGGTTTCAAGAGCAAATCCAGAATGTGAAGTACAGGCAGGGCTTTAGAAATAGAATTTAGAGTATTTAAAAGGTGGCTGGTTGTATCTGTCTGCGTCAAGTGTGGGATAGTATAACATCAAACTTGACAACGGTTTCCAGTCAGGTTCTTTCTGGGTTTTACAGAGATGAACTCCTGCCTAACTGCTGGGTCTTGCACTGTTCCTGACTGCTGCCAGGGACAGTCTTAGTTCCTCCTGCTGCTGCCTTGGCCCTTGAGGCAGTCCCTGATGTCACGTGTTATCTGGAAGTCTTGATTTCTATGAAAAGGGGCCAGGGGAGGGCATAATGTTTCTAGTCTCCTGGGCATCCCTCTTCCTTGTGAGGAGAACAGTCCTCAGATAACTGTGACACAAGCATCTTACCTATAGGTATTGGATTTCTCCTTAGGCATAAATTCCTTTTCATTTGGCTGGAGACTATAACTCATGGTATTCTGGGCAGACGAGCTCTGAGAACTCTAGTTCTGATGGCTGCTTGCTGATGGTCTGATTTTGAAGGAAGGTAAGCTGCCCAGGAACACCTTCTCAGCCCACAGATGCTAGAAGATCTTCTGTTTGAGGCTGGGCTTCCTGCCTTTAAAAAGAATCCCACCTCTTCTGCCACTGATATTATTAACACATAAAGTGACAGACAGCCGTGAGATATATATGTGTTCCTAGATTGCTCTTCTTAGTTCACACACTCGAGATCTTTTGAAATCTTACTAGACAAGGAATGACAGCATGAAAATTGTGTCATCCTATAGAGATTATTGTTGAGTTGAAGTTGAAGAGGTAAAATGTATTGAGAATAAAATAATAATGGCCATAAGAGAAAACAATTTAAAACTAAATAGTATGGTCTAAAACCATTAATAGTTTAAAGAAAAGAAACATCTGGGTGGGGAATATGTTTTAAATGCCCTCCTCAAAAATCACATTGAAATGTAATCCTCTTTGGAAGATCTAACTAAAGAGGCTGGGTCAGGACTAGGGATGTAGTTCAGTGGTACAATGTTACCCCTTTGTTCAGGAAAACAAGCAAGCAAATAAACAAAACACTGAATGGGGCCAGACATTGCCTTTAAGAAGTAATTAGGTCATAAGGGGCCTGTCTGCTCTCATGAGTAGATTAGCCAATTCAAGGGTTGTTGAATGAATATGTGAATGTGGAAAATGAATCTGCCACACAAAGCAGTTGGCTTTGACTCTTGGATGCCCCCTCTTGCCATGTACTGACTTGTGCTCTTTTGGTTCTCTGTGGAAGTCCATGACCATCACCACTTGCAGCCTCCAGGACAATGAACTGAATTAAGCCTCCCATCTTTAGAAATCATCCAGCCTCATGTATTCTGTCATCACAACAAAAACGTGGGATGACTTTTTATTACTTGGCTACCTTGGTTTTATGTTTTCTTGCTTTCCAGATTATTCAGTACTCCCCAGAGAAGGTAGATGAGAGACAGAAAGAACAGCTGAGTTCAAGTCCTGCGATTAAGACTTGCCAAGAACCTCCTTCCCCATCCCAGCTAAGGTCTGGTGTAGAGGGCTGTTCACCAGCTGGCCATGAAGTGTGACTGTGAAGATCCAAATGCACAGGGAAAAGGGCCCAGGTGACAATGCAAGAGGAAGCTTTACCTCCTGTTTCACATCCGGACATGCCGGTGCATCTCCTGCCCACTCGCCCCCTCTCCTTGTCTCTGGATTCCTCTCCTACTCAGTGGACTGGCCCCACCCAAACCCTCCTCACACACCTGCATCTGCTCGGTGTGCCAGGCTATGGCTGGGCAAGCATTTCTCTGCTGACCAGCACTGCCTGGCATTGAAATGAGAATGGAAACAACAAAAGCAAAACAAAGCTGCAGCCTAATAAACCTCTATATTGTTTCCTCACTTCCTCATGATAGGAAATGCCAAGATTGGCACATGTACATCCTGCCAGGGATGTAGGCTGCTGTTCAGAAACTGGCTCATAGACTTCAGCATGGTTCTGCTCAGGGTGGCTAAGACTGAGACCAGGACAAGCAGTGGCATTAGCAGAAGCAGTCAGAGGATGTCAGAGGTTCAGCAGAGCCAACAGGCTTACTACAGGGTGCACTATCCCCTCCCTCATAGATAGAGTCCCTGAAATATAGTGCTCCTGGGATACAGTAGGTCACCCAGTGTTTATTCTCTGCCACTAGGTATGGTTTATTCTCTGCCACTTGGTTTGGAGTTTTGGTTTTGCATTCGTGCATGTGGGGTGTGTGTGTTGTTATTGCTGCATATTTTGTTTAAAAACACATCAGCAAATTCATGTATCTTAGGCTGGTTCTGAATTCACTATGTAGTCCAGGTTGGCCTTGAACTTGCTGTGATCTTTCTGCCTTAGGTTCCAAAGTGTTGGGGGTTATAGACATCAATCATTACATCTGGCTTAAAATAAATCATATTTAATGTCTACAGTATGATGTTTTGATATACACAGCAAGATTTAGTAGATGCCAACTGATTAATATATCCAACCTTCTCAAATTATTATCCTTTTTTTTTTGTAAGAGCCCACAGCTACCCTCTTAGCAGATTTTCTAGCACATGACATCAGAACTGTAGTCCTTGTGTTGTGCTTAACTCTCTGGAACTATTTCTTCTGTCTGCCTCTGCATTATACCTCTTGACATCCCCTCTTCTACCCCCCATAAGGTATTTTTTTTTCAGAAAATAAAAATTATCCTTTTTTTTTTTTTTTGAGACAAAGCCTCTCTCACTATGTTGCTTGAGCTAACTTTGAACTCCTGAACTGAAGCAATCCTCCTACCTCAGCCTCCTGAGTACCTGGAACTATAGATATGTGTCACTGTCCTTGGGTTAACTCTTTTTTTTTTTTTTAAGAGGCAGTTGGTTGGAAAATGATTGTAATCTGAATGCTTCTTTAATTTTTATTCATTTGTTGTTGAGATAGTGTCTCATATAATTCAGGCTGGCTTCAGCATTGCTACGTAGCTGAAGATGGCCTTGAACGTCTGATCTCTCTACCAAAATGCTAGGATTACAGGTATGTGCCATGACACTTTCTTTTTCATTTTTATTTATTTACTTTTTGTGTGTAGGGGTGTCTTAGGGTTTCTATGGCTGTGAATAGATGCTATGACCATGGCAACTCTTATAAAGGAAAACATTTAATTGGGACTGTCTTACGTTCAGAGGTTTAGTCCATTATCATCATGGCAGGAAGCATGGCGACATGCAGACAGACACGGTGTTGGAGAGGTAGTTGAGAGGTCGACATCCAGATCAGCAGGCAGCAGAAAGACAGAGTGAGTCACTGGGCCTGGCTTGAGCATCGGAAACATCAAAGCCCACTCCCAGTAACACACTTCCTTCAATAAGGCCATGCCTACCCCAACAAGGCTGCACCTTCTAATAGTGCCACACCCTGTAAGCCTGTGGGACCATTTTCATTCATACCACCACAGCAGGTTTGGTTGTGCATTTGTGTATGTTATGTGGAAGTCAGAGGACAACTTGTGGGAGTTGGTTCTCTCCTTCAGTGCCACAGGGACTTTATAGCATCATATAAGTTACTTCCCTAAAGCTGTGACAAGGCGCCCTCTCAAAAGCGACTTAAGGGAGAAGGGGCTTATTTTGCTTCAGAGTTTAGGGGTATAAGCCCATCATGGTAGGAGACTGAGACAGCTGGTTCAGT